GCGGGATACATAGCGTTGTGCACGGGATACATTAGGTTTGATACATTCTACATAGCGGGATACATAGCGTTGTGCACGGGATACATTAGGTTTGATACATTCTACATAGCGGGATACATAGCGTTGTGCACGGGATACATTAGGTTTGATACATTCTACATAGCGGGATACATAGCGTTGTGCACGGGATACATTAGGTTTGATACATTCTACATAGCGGGATACATAGCGTTGTGCACGGGATACATTAGGTTTGATACATTCTACATAGCGGGATACATAGCGTTGTGCACGGGATACATTAGGTTTGATACATTCTACATAGCGGGATACATAGCGTTGTGCACGGGATACATTAGGTTTGATACATTCTACATAGCGGGATACATAGCGTTGTGCACGGGATACATTAGGTTTGATACATTCTACATAGCGGGATACATAGCGTTGTGCACGGGATACATTAGGTTTGATACATTCTACATAGCGGGATACATAGCGTTGTGCACGGGATACATAGGTAAATAAGGGATTTTTGAAATTTTTGAAATAAGTAGGGATAAATGGGTATTAAGGTAAGTAAAGGAGTGTAGTTAAGTAATTTGTCCAAAAAAAAACACTAACGATTAGGGTGGAATGGTTGAAATATCTTTTCTCCTAATTAGAAATTTCAGATTTGAGCTTTGGAAATGAAGAATCTTTTAGTAAGGAGTGTTTTTATCCTCTTAATAACGGCCCAATCCCATGCGCAAAGACAGAACAATTATTTGAAGTTTATGATTTTCCAAACCTCTCATCGAAGCTATAGCTCATTTAGTCATTTTAGTTATGAATTTTTCTAACACATGTACACGTACTAAGCACATAATCATTGAATTTGTCTTGATCCGTAAACTAACAAGGTAGCTTCACCTTTGTTAATACGAATTTGGATTAATCAGATCAACAGGCTTTCGAATATCAAATACTTAGAAAAATAACATGTTTTCTAATTTTATGTCCTTTATTTATCAGTGTAAAGAGATTTTCTAAAAATTTGAAATATTGTTGGATGCCTTTGCTAAGAAGTTTTGTATGGTTGAGAAAGTAGTAGCATCAAGTTCTCTCTATCTTTAAAGGAGTAGTACCTATTTACTCAAAAGGTAAAGTAGGTCCCCACATTAAATATTTGGACCACCCTACCCCTAGTCCTACCCCCCCCCCAACCTCAAGAAAATATGTTAAGATTGACATTCTGGTTCTGTGGTAACTAACCAAAAAGACCAGAAATAGTTGGAAACTAGAAAAGTTTTTTCGGAGTCGTTTGGTGTGAGGTATAATATATAATAATTTCAAGATAAAATGTAGGATTCTTTTATGGCACGTTTGGTTGAAAGTATTAGGTAGTCCTTAGATTATTTATTCAACCTTTTTTTTTGTCATAGTGATGAAATAAGTTATTCTATATACATGATGAAATAACTTACTTGAAATTAATTATCTTGAGATAACTTGTTCGGAACCAAACAAACGGTTAAGGTTAAAGATTGTCGTGGGGATGAGATCATCCATGACATGGTTCTCACTTCTAACAATTTTGGACCACTTTCCACTATGTTCTATATTGGATCCAAGAATGTTTTATTGCATACCATAACTCCAACTAATATGTGCATAGTCACTACTTTTAACGTTATTTTACTTATTCTCTGAATCAGAAGCGAGACATGAGTCATGACTACCCTTCTTCTTGGACTCGAGACCTACTTTGCGGGCCAATTCGTACCTACGATATTATTAGGTGGGAAGTTTGGCTGAGGCCGCACAACTATCTTGAAGACTTTTGTTTAAAGGGTAGTTGTACAATCAAAGATAATTAATTTTTTTTCCTCTTTTCGAAGTACCTATCGCAATAACTTTTAAATAATATTTTTTCAACTTAACTAATTCATGTCCAAACACCTATTAATGTCTTGTTTCTTATATAAACTTTTGTGTTCAAGAACTACATCAACTAAGTTCTTAGACTTTAAAAAATGATATCT